CACACACACACGCACACACGCACACACGCACTCACGCACGCACGCATGCGCGCACGCATGCACGCGGACACGTGCACACACACACACGCACACACGCACACACGCACTCACGCACGCACGCACGCACGCGGACACGCACGCACGCACGCACGCACACATGTACGCACGCACGCACCCACGCACGCACGCACGCACGCGTGCACGCACAGACACGAACACATCTGATCTATCGACACACGGCACATAGACTGGCGCAGCAGTTTCTCGTCCTCTCGGTCGTACACTGCTGCCCACGTCTTTGCAAGCGCGACGGGGACACTAGTAGCTATGATATCATCACGCTCGCGCTCTAAATCTCGTTCTAACGCTACGTCATCATCATCATCATTATTATCATCATCATCCACATGCCTAGCGACCATGCCAAGCGCACTCGGTTGCTATAGCAACGAACCGGAAATCCTGGATAGCCACGCTCGCCCTTTTTCCCCTGAAAAAGAAAAAAACAACAAAAGTCAGAAAATGTCGTCGTCCCGGCGACGAAAAGTTTCCCGCAGCCGACTGAAGATGGCGCTGTAGGTCCGCGGGCCGCGCAAACCGCGGGAAATTAACAGAATCGCGCGGAAAACGTGTGAACGTTCGAATATGCGACGCGAAAGCAGCCGTTGCTACTAACCGCTCCCCGCTATCGCGCAAAGCAACAGATTCCCAACGCCCCCTGCCGCGCCCCTCCTGCTACAGAAAGTTACGCGTTTGTGACGCTAGATGGAGCCACTCACCGGCGCTCCGGGCGGGCCACGAAGCGTCTGCAACACGTTGCGTAGTGTCCCAACCTCTCCCTTGTCGCCCTTTGATCCCTGAAAGCAGACAGATGAAATCGGAGCAAAACAACGACGAAGTGGCGGGGGAGGGGGAGAGCGACGCGGGCGGCCGCCAAAATCGCTGCACGGCGCAAACAAATTAGCGCAGTATGGCGGAACGAGATGGCCACCGCTGCGACGTCACGCGGACATGAGCAATGGGAAACCGGCAAAAACAATAGGCATATAGGGGGCGCTGATAGGCAACTGAGTCCTGAGCAAGAACAGCTGCGCGGTGTTTACAAGTGAAAACTGTACTGTACGTACCGTGTTCCGTTTTTCAACTAGGTGTTGTTTTTATCTGGGACAATGCCAACCGAATATTGTGTACTACATTGTGGGAAGAGGGGGAGGACATGCTTTCCTTGTACGTTTTAAGCAGCGACGTGTCTGGATTAGAGCTGTGAGACGATGAGAATGTAACTTCTCTGAGACCTTCCAAGTACGCGCGTGCATGTCGAGATCATTTTGATGAATCGGACTACGTTGAGACAACCTAGCTCGTATGGTATGTTGTTGTTTTTTATTAGCAGATTCAGTAATCAGTTGCCCTAATGTATCTTCGTTGTATAAGTATATTTCAAATCAACAGCTAATGCGAAACAAGTCTGACCAGGCTGCGAGATTAATATCAATACACATTTTCAATATATTACCATTTCTTGGAGGGCAATGGTACATGCTGTATATGGTGATATATATATATATCTAATTTTCTCTCTCTCTCTCTCTATGTATATATATATATATATATATATATATATATATAATTCTGCTATGGCGTTATTTTTTTTTTTCAGGAACTGCATCACTTTGAGGAGTTGAAATGCACAGCTGTTCTCTGCACGTTTTTCGCTGAAACAATCTGCGCTCACCCAGTTCTCTGGTGGCGGACGGAAAGAGTGAGCAAACTGCAAAGGGTTAACTCAAAGATCAGCTCAAGTTGGAGGACATTCAGCGGCTTAATGCCTTATTTAAATTGGTGCCGAGGATGAAGTTGTGGAAAGTACAGTAAAACCTCGTTTTATAACTGCCGTCCTCGTAATACCGCCAATCTCACTTATCGCCAGGGAAATGCCAGTTTACAGAGTATTTGTACGTAATTTAGCCTCGTAATAGCCGCCCCCCGTTAACCGCCAACCAACCAGCATTATGACTATGTACAATTCTATATAAATGCATTGAAAATAACACTCGTATATATTCCATCGAGTGTTGGTCGTGTATCGGTTGATCAGTTCTATGGTAACATACACAGCAGCCATCCATGCGAGTCCTATGTAATAGCAGTAGTATTTACGGTATGTACTAGTGTATAGTACTAGCGGTAGAGATTCCGCCCCAATCATCACTTAAAATGACTATTGCGAGATTTTTTGCTCAGAAAAAACTAAATATAGCTGAATATATGACAGCGAAAATATCACTGATTACACCAACATTAAAAATACTAAGATTTTATGCAGTTATAGCATAGCAAATTGGATATGAACACATCGTAACAGCAAATCCATTTTATTGTGTCGCGAAATGGTCTAATGGCGAGAATTAGTAAATTGTATTTGTGTTTGGTGATTAATTGAAAAACAAGTGCAATGAATTTGAGAGAGCCATGCTTTGTGCTATGGCAGATAAGCGTGGCCGGCCACAAGCTAAATCCACACTTCGCCTAGTTCAAAGATAACAGAAAACGAATGTTTTACGAGAAACTAGTTCGAAACCAGGGCGCCCCTTGTCAGAAAACTTCGTAAAGTTACGATTAATTTTAAGACTAATGTTAAGTGTAAGCGCGTTACAGCGTTAATACGCGTTGAGAGAAACCTATCGTACTAAACTTACTTAAGTGAAAACTTACGATAACAGGAACGGCTGCTGATTGGATGAGATTGATCAAAAAATTCAAATTCATACACATATAATTGTACATAACAGTAAATTTATGCATATTATGATGACTATTCACATATAAATAATATTTGATGAAAAACGACAGCGGTCTTGATTATTCTGCACAACAAGACAATTCGCACACTGTAACACGAGACGCGAGAGTCGTGTGGTCAGTGCAAAGTATTAAAACAAGAGAACAAATGCCATACGCCATTTGTAAATGTTTTGACACTTTTGTTTTGCTTCAGCGATCGGTAGATAATTAATGTTTTCGACGTGTTTTTCAAGAAAAACACATGATATTTACTTATTAATATAAAAATAATATCACTCTATAATTGTAATTCTTAGTCTAAATGTGTTATTTCCATCTTAATATTAAAGTTAAGGAAGGGTCTAGGATCTCTTTAAAGTTAAGAGAAAACTTACGAGAATTTTTAATTCTCTACTTTACCGAAGTTCTTGTCAACGCTCTAGAGAGAAAAAGTTAATGTTAAGGTTAATGTTAAGACTAATTTGTTTCTGACAACGGGCCCCAGTAGTTCGAACTGGCAGTTTTTTGTGAATACGAATTTCTAAGACATTTTATTGTTACTCTAAGACAATTGCGCTGTTACTCAGCAATCAACGGTAGGTTCATGAAAGTGGTGAAAACACTGAAAATTCTCGCAATAATCGCTTTAATACTCGGAGGTCAAATTCAGACTGTATTGCGATATTTTGAGTCGAACGCATGTTCTAATGAACGTGACATTTCTGCCGTGTCCCTTCTACCAATCTCGCATGGATTCACTCATTTCAGAATGTTCTAACGAAGTCAATTTTCAAGACTTTTTTTTATGAAAGATTGAACCCAGACTATCAAAATACTGCACGCGAAACTTAGATGTACATGTACATGTGCTGAAGCTCGCGGACTAACGAAAAAACACGAAACAACGATGAACTATAATATTTTTTTATTTTAATAGTAATTCAGTTATAAAACAAAGAAATTTGTTAATATTATTTTTATTGTCATGTGATTTTTTGTTTATAATCATATATCATCTATTTTGACTTGATTTTCTAAGCAACTGGAGCTATTTAGTGGTGATATTAAACCAATCCTAATACCTCGTTACAACGTCAATATTTCCCAAGTCCCGATGGTGCGGTATAACGAGGTTTTACTGTAATATGGATAATTTAGCAGGTAATAAATGAATTAGTAAAAAAGACATGTCATTAATTGTTTTTATTATCAATTAAACATATATTATTAATTTACATCACGACTTCAGTGCCTCCAAATTGCAAAATAAATTATTGTTTCTGTCTATTTTGCCAGTTTATGTTATAAAATACTGGACGAGCCGCATATAATAAGTAACAAATGCTTCTATTAATTATTCTAATTACCTATTTTTTGCTTATATTTAATAAGATTAATATATATATATATAATATATAATGTATATATAATATAAGATTTAAAAAAAAAATTATATACACACATATCCATATATTGGATGAAAGCATCATCTCGCTCTATTTCTATACATTTAAAGATACGTGTAAATGACAAAGTGACGTCGTTTCATATTAGTGCAAAGTAACTGTCCCTGGACTTCATGATATTAATCATGATTTTGTCTCAACCCATCATTGAATTTTTCAAGGTAGGGTACAGTAATATGGTCAATAACTGGTACA